AACAGATTAATATATTAATTATTAATTTATTTTTGATCAAAGTTGTATAATAATGTATTTTTTAAGTGGCATGGAATTTAAGTTTTATTTCTGAGGTTCTTATGTTTGTTATGTCCGATTAAAACATGTATTTGTATTGTAGTATTTTAATTGTTATTCATGTAATTGTATTGTATTATTTAAATTGTTATCTATCCAATGACTTATTAATTTATTTATTGATTAAATTTGTATAATAATGTATTTTTTTAGTGGAATGAAATTTAAGTTTTATCGATGTGTTTTGAAAATTATCTTTTTTTTTTCTCTGAACTATGTGGATGACATGAATAAATAATGGTGGTAGTGAATATGATTTTATAATTAAATATTTGTAGCACGTGGGTGTGGACCGAAATTTAATGGAAAGATTGATGACAATTATGTAATCATAATTATGGATACAATTCTAATTCTAATAAATATTCAAGCAAGTGAATGAAAAAATGATATTTTAAAGGCGTGAAAAGATTGAGGCGTGAAAATATTAGATTAAGGCGACACGTTCGTGGAGATCAAATTAATACGGAACAACTAAACGTGTTTTTTTCAAATAGAATACCCATTAATTAAAAACGTGAATTATCTCTTTAATGTGACTTATCCACATATTACGATTATCTCTCTAATTAATTAATTTTTTTAATCCAATTATGACTTTTATTAAATGCTTTCAAGCTTTTCTTTTCAAATAGGATACCCATTAATTTAAAACGTGCATTCTCTTTAACTTGACTTATCCACATATTCCAATTATCTCTCTAACTAATTAATTTTTGAATTCTATTATGTCTTTTTAAATGTTTTCAAGCTTTCTAAATTTAGAATGTCAAAGTATTATTTTTTTGGTCAAATGTTTCTAAAAAAGATTTATCCAACAACATTTATATATATATAGATATTATCAATGTAATTAAATAATATCAATCAATCATTATTATACATCACATCAACTTTAATTCACTATTCATCTACTCACATAACTCTAACTAACTATCACTTCCAATCATTTTTTTCATACTTTTACATCAAATCAACTTTAATTATTTTATTTAAATATTATTTTAATATAACCACTACCAACTAACCATACCACATTTTTTCAAAATTAACTATAGTTAAAAAACAACCAAATAAAAATCAATCTAATCCATAAACAATCACACCCTAACATTTTTCAGCATTAGGTATCCCAAGGGTGGGATGTGAAATCCATCAGTATTTCACTTTTAAATTTTCATAAATACCCACACTTATTATTTCCCCAATTTTTCCTTCCCGTAATCCTACCCACCTATGAGGGAGGTCGACTTATCCAGCTGTCAAAAGAAACATGAGGACGCCTCTATCTCTCAATTTCAAGTAGAAGTCGACAAGGGCCATATGGACGAAGATTGCTCCACATATCTCGATTTTAAGCACATGTACGTGGATTATTGGCCCGCCAATTCTGACAAAATTCGGGCATAGCCTTGAGGGTTGAAGACAAAGCGAACGTGGTGGGAGGAAGTCCCTCGGCTTGTCTGTAGAGAGAAAGAGAGAGAGCATCCGCGAACTGGCCGCGCTAATGTGGCGGAGGCGTTGGGGGTTGTCATGCGGCAGAGGATTGAGGCGACGTAGTGGGTGGCTCTCAGTATATGTGTGGCGGTGAATTTGAGGGTTTGGTGGACAAGAAGCGACCCGAGGTTGCAGAGGTAGTTGAGTATAATTTGGCACTGATAGACATGACCAGGGGTCGGCCAAGCCCGCCGATTTGGTCTTGAACCGACCCGAAATTGGTATGCGGTCAACAGGTCTTGAACCGAGCCCGTGGTTTGACCGGGTCAATTCTGGCCACATATGTTTAGTTCACGAACTGCCGGGCTGGACCGAAACCAACGATTTGGCCTTTTTTTCTAAAAAAATAAAATATATAAAATTTATTTTTTTTTTGATTAAACTTGGCCAACCCGGAATCGGCGGTTCACTGAACCAACTCAAAACAATTGGTTCACTAAACCGGCCCGTGCATATGTTCGGACCTGTTCAGGGCCCTCCAACTCTGGCCAACCCAACGGTTTCGACCTGGAACATGTCCAGAATCGAGAAATGGTCATGTTTATCTAGCAATTTATTTGCTTGACCTGGTTGACGGTGAGGGGCTTATCCAGCAAGGTCGTCAACTTTATATATTTAGTTTTCAAATTGCCGGGCCACAGCCGGAACCGGCGGTTCGGCATTATTTAAATGATTTGGCAAAATATAATTAGTTTAGTCATGTGACAAGCATGTATAGTCTATAACATGATAAGTCAATCCCTACAGATCAAAAACATTAGAATTCACTCTTCCTTTGCACTGTTAAATGAATCAGACCTTTACTTAAATTGACGGGCATGAAATGAATAATGAAGTTAACCCGCTTCATCGTTGACCAAATTTTCCTTTTCTATATTAACAAATTCCAAATTCATGAAAATTTAGGTACCAATTAGTGAA